CCCTTGCTTCCGTCGATGCCCAACCTCCAAGAGCTTACGCTCGGCTTTGGTCGACTGGACGACATACCAAGCACGCTCGACACCAAGGCAACCCCCCGTCTGCGCGCGCTGACCCTCTACAGTGTCACCTTTTCGGACAAGGCTTTCAACGCCTTCTTCCAGTGGACCTTGGGCTTGCGCCAGCTGCGGTGTGTGCTTTGTAGCGCAATTTCGTTCGAACGTCATCGGCTACTGACGCTCAACACCGTGTTGCGCCACTGGATCGTCATTAATGGTGTCACCAGTGCCGGTTTTGTGTACAACACACTTGACGAAGTGCAAGTCATTGCGTCCGTGCTCCAGAACGCACCACGGTCATTGCCACTGACGTTCCTGGACGTCGACGATATTGGAAACGACGTCGCTTGCCTTTGGAAGCTCATCAAGTCGATGGCCCACCTCGTCAACACCACCGTCAAGTTCGAGTTCAAGATGCACGAATGCCAGTACAGAGCCATCAAGACCACGGCCCTCGAGGACCATGGCGTCGACGTCCCATCCGGTTGGCGACTATGATATATACTTCCTCCATAGTCCTCGACGCTAATCCAGCGTACTAGTAAATATACTCACTAGTGTAGCCCTTCCATTGCACCGTCACCGAGATTATTCACATGGCAGCACCTTCGTGAAATGCAGCGTAACGTGTGTGACACAACTGACACGCTATCATTTTGGCGCCACGTTCGACGCACTTCGAATTCTGCAGATGTACTTGGATGGCGTCTACGCCTTCGTCACGGAGACGCTTTCGCCGATCGCAATGCTCCTGCGGTTGACGGTCGCAGCGCAGCGGATGTTGCGTTCGAACCCTTCTGAAAATCGCTGCGCCACCCGAGCCATTCTCGGAAATTGTGGACTTTGCTCTTGCCACAGCTTCGGGATATCAGGTGCGATGCGATTTCCTTCCAACATGATCGGCTGCCGATGCTCAGGACGGTGTTGCACCACTGGATCAATACGACTGGCGTCACGAGTGTCAGTCGCATGTACAGCGCACCAGAAGAAGTGCAAGTGATCGCGTCCGTGCTCCAGGGCTTGCCGCCGTCGTCGGCCCTGACGTCCATCAACGTCGGCGCCATCAAAAACGATTTCGATTGCCTCTGGATGCTCATCAAGTCGATGGCCCACCACGTTAACACCACCGCTCAACTCGTGTTCGAGATGAGCACAAAACAATACAAAGCCATCAAGGCCACGGCCCTCGCGGACCATGGCGTCAAATTCGCGCGTTCGGGTAACGACGACAGATCGTACTACCTCCATATTCCTCAACGCTAAGATAAGAACTTGCTTTTTTACGTATTTTCACGCCAATGCGCCAATGCGTTCTCAATTCGAGTCTAAGCCGCTCCTACAAGTTGTCTTGGCGCTGGCTGCGTTGGGCGTGCTGTGCGAGCACGGCAAATGCGTCGCCTACTTCGTGGAGCGTCGCAATCGCCGTGGACTGGAACTTGATGTCGCGGCGGACAATGCCACGCACGAGACGAAGGAGCGAGCGCCGGGTGAGAGTAAACTCGTGGCGTTGCGTAGGCGTGCGAGCGAGGTGCTGCTTGGGAGCGTTCCCTCCGGCGACTTTCCAAATGAGAATAGGTATACTCGAGCAGCGTTGGACGTGCGCCCGAGCGGGTGAAAATGAAAATGATGTCGCCAACACTCAACACCGACGCCTCTATGCTTCCTCGTCGGTGAGGAGTTGAAGCTCGCCCTCATTGCGCTTCCAGCGATACCAACACTCTACATCTCTGACGCCGTCACGTTCCAGTCGAGTTGTTCCATTGAAGACGCGCTTCAATGGCTTGCCCACGTCACGTACCTCGGCAAGGGCGTGTATAGCAGCATGGTCGACGACTTTACCAGCACTATAAACGACTTAAGAGCTTGCAAGTCCATGTCGACGCCTTTGTCGATCTGGTTCCGTCGCTGCCGCCGACCCTCCGCCATCTCCGGCTTTGTAGCGATGTTAGCAACGAATTGTATGACGACTTGGAAGGCGACGACGACTCGGAAGACGTCGACTCGGAAGACGTCGACTCGGAAGACGTCGACTCGGAAGACGCTGACTCGGAAGACGATTTCAACGATGTCAACGATGGCAATGACAGCAATGCCGCCAGACGGGGCGATGACGCCGGCGATGGCCTTGGACCACGTCCCTCTCTTCATCGTCCAGTGCTTACGCTCGCATCATGATGTCACCGCCTTTCTGCGCGCGCTTCCAGCAAACTCGCTCTCGGTACCTCTGGCTGCGCTCCTGGAGCTCTTGTCAAAGTCGAGGACGGTCAGGGCGCGCTGGCCGGAAATCCTTCCCGAATTCCTCGGCCCGAAGAGATCGAAGCTTGCCCTCACCGCGCTGCCGGCGCTGCCATCCATCTATGTCTACGATACTATCTACTGGTACGATAGTAGCCTGCAGTCCACCGCCCGCGCGCGTCAATGGCTTGCGAATGTCATGCACCTCGGCAAGACGATCGATAGCAGCACGCTCGACGCCTTTACAAGTCATGTCGCGCAGTACAAGCGACTTGAGAGCCTGTCTGTGCACGTCGACACTCTTGGCGATCTGGCTACGTCACTACCGCCCCGCCTCCGCCATCTCATGCTTGTCGGCGACGACATCAGCGACGACGACTATGACGACTTTGACGACGACGACGCGGAAGGCGAGGACGGCAGTGCGTACGCGGGCTCTGAAGGCGACGTCGACTCGGACCTCGCGACCGCCTTGCACCGCTGGCTCGACAATGGAAGAAGCCACAATAACTTGACTGTCGACGGCCTATTGTCAAAGGTCCATGCGGCAGCTGTCGCCGGCGTGCTTGCGTCCGCGTCGTCCTTGGCAACCCTCAATATCATTCAGTCAGTCGAGCTCGTGAAGGCTCTCATCGCGCGTACAACCCAGTTGCCTCACGTAACCGGGCTCAAGGTTGCGTGGTCGTCGGTCGACGAGACGCAGCAACTCG